GGGGGGGGAGGGGGCACCCACACGGCACACCGCACGGCGAAAGGCGGAAGGAGACTGCGGTGCCCCCTCCCCCCTCACACAATGCTTTCGCACCAGTAAGCTCATATTGGTGTCCATATTCCCCCTTTTCCAGGACGATGGGCGCGCTGGCGGGCGCGCGGGTCGCGGCGTTGGTGCTGCTGGCGGTGGCCTCCGCGGCCCGGGCCCAGGACGGGGCGGCGCCGGCGCGGCTCTTCCCGTCGCTGACCATCTCGGCGCCCAACAGCCCGTCCAGGGCGTGCGCGCGGCAGAGCCGCCAGCTGGACAGGGCGCTGGCCAACAGGACGCTGTGGGCCATGCACAGTGAGTACGCCGTCGTCGACGTTGGCCTCCCTCTGTCTCCCCTCGTGGACTCAGGCTTTGACCTCGAGTGTGCCCGTGTCCACCGCAGTGCTGGACGCCTCCGCGCTGGGGTCGTCGGGCGCGCTGGCGGGCTCCGTGTTCCAGCTCGGCGACTACGACCAGTGCCTGTCGGCGGGCGCCCCCTGGCCCGCGCAGTACTGCCTGGCCGGCGTGCACTACGACGTGCCGCACACGGGCGCGCTGCCCCTCCACCACCAGGAGTACGCCGCCAACGGGTCCGTGTGGGACAAGGTCCACGTGAGTATGTCCTCCCCGTCAGCCTCGCGGATGGTGGCCGCGTACGGCATCGTTGCCGACACACTGACACTCTGCTGTTTCCACTCCGTCAGTACAACGGCGCCGAGAACCACATGCGGCTGGACACGGTCACGTGGGGCTTGTGCGTGCCGTCCGGGTGCGACGCCGAGGACGTGCAGGGCGCCCTGGAGGCGCACCTGGCGGCCGCGCGCGACTCCCTGGCCAGGGCCTCCAACGTGTCGGTGGCCCACTGCACCGCGCCACTGCGCCGCATCTACGAGGCGGACGCCCTGGATGCCCTCTTCGGGTGAGTGTCTCATGGCCGCGCCTTCTAATCGGCGGACAGGACTGGAACGACCGCACCGCGGCGCGTGGCGGGTGCCGACACCGTCGTCGTGAGAAGCGGCACTCTGAGAGATGGACTTTGTTGCAGAGTGCTGGTGGGCGTGCTGGTGTCACTTGTGGCCGTGGGAACGCTGCTCGACCTGCAGGACCCGGACGTACCAAAGTTCGGCAAGGAGCAGGCCGCCCCCCTGGGTAAGTATAGAGACGGGCGCCCGTCCTGAAATCGCATGCACACAGCTGGGAACACCTCAAGAGAAACAGCCAGAAAATCGCATTGAACAACCCTTCACTGCATAGTGTCCGCACGCACCCCCGCTCACGACCTCCTCCTCCCGACATACAGGCCTCGGGCGCCGCATGCTGCTGTGCTTCTCGGCGCGCCGGTCGCTGCGCGCGCTGCTGGCGCCGGAGCCCCGGCCGGGCGGCCTCAACACGGAGCCCGTGTCGGGCGTGCGCTTCCTCAACATGCTGCTGCTCGTGTGCGCGCACCGCGTGCTCAACGTGTTCCGCGGCCCCGTCCACAACCACCTGGCCGTGGCGACGCGCGCCGTCGAGGACCTGTCGCTCACGGGCGTCATCCACGGCCAGCTGTTCGTGGACACGTGCTTCTACCTGGCCGGGCTGCTGCTCGCCCTGTACGAGCTCTACCGCCCCCAGCCGCAGGGCTTCGGCCGCTCGCTGCTACTGCGCTACATCAGGTGGAGCAGACTCGTGCCGCTGGCCGTTATCCCGAGAACAGCGCAAAGTCCGTCGTAATGATTCCCGTCGACATCCAGGTTGACGCCGACCTACGCCATCATCATCCTCTTCTACGCGTCCGCCTTCTACAAGACGGGCTCCGGGCCGCTGTGGGACATGATGATCGGCGTGGAGCGGGAGTCGTGCCGAAACTACTGGTGGACCAACCTGCTCTACATCAACAACTACGTGCCGACGGACACACTGGTAAGGAATGGAGCGATTGAGGAGGCTTCCGGGTAACCGTGTGCACGGACCTCACCCCTTGTCTCTCGCAGTGCGTGTTCCAGTCGTGGTCGCTGGCCGCCGACATGCACTACTTCATCTTCGGCATGCTGCTGCTGTCGCTGGTGCGCCGGCGCTACCGCTGGGGGGTGGCCGCGTTGGCCGCGCTCTTCGCCGTGTCCGTCGCGGTGCCGCTGGCGCTCACCGCCCTGCAGCGTTGGCCGGCCATGCTCATGTTCACGCCGAGGTCAGTAGTATTGCCCACATGAGTAACACACTACTTGCCTTGCTCGGTGTTCTTATTATTTTACGAATCTTCCGCCGCCATGTCTCTGTCGCAGCTTCCTCAGGGACATCCACCGCAGCCCCATGTTCCGCCTGGTGTACTCCGCCTCGCACAACCGGGCCTCGCCGTACCTCATGGGCATCGGCGCCGCGCTCGTGCTCCACAAGCTGCAGCAGCGGCAGTTCCGCTTCTCGGCGGTGAGTACTGCCCCACCCCCTCACCGCAGCACTTCACCTAATCGTGCACCTCGCCCTTCATCTTTGTCTCTCGCACTCTGTCCGCTCGCAGAGGTGGACGTGGACTATGGAGGTGGTCGCCGCCTCTGCCATGATGCCGGTGCTGTTCACCTCGGTCGTGTTCTACAACCCGGAGCACAAGTACGACGCCCTGGAGGCGGGCGTGTACGCCGCGACCGCTCCCATCGCCTGGACAATCGGCCTCGTCGCCGGGACCCTCAGCTCCTTGCTGGGCACAAAATGTGAGTTCCCGGTAACACGGCCAGGGGGGGGGGGGGTCAGGCATGTCATGGGCACCATTCATAAGTACGCCCGTCGTTTGCCGTTACGCACCTGCCAAAAGACAAACTCGACCTATAGTAGGCCTACAAGCTCTCATAGCGCCTGGTGGGTAGGCAACATCTTGCCTGCAGTGCAGGCGTGTACAGCGGTGTGGCCTACCCGGAGTCTCACAGGCGCTGAGCTCATGTCTCACACCTGACTAACTCCTCCTTATTTCCGCCCAGCCATCGTGAGGCTCACGACTACGCCCAGGCCTTTCCTCGTTCTGAGCAAGCTCACCTACTGCGTCTATCTGGTGCATTGGATCTACCAGATGTCCTTCACGGCCACTCTACGTGCGCCCTACCATCAGGAGGACTTTAAAATGGTACGTTCCGTCCTCGCCCACAAGGTCGTAGTTCCTTTAACCCACGGATACAGTGAGCGCCCCTTTTCCGTGTACTTTCAGATGCAGGAATCTGCGGGCGATATTCTGAACTCGTTCGTCTTGGCCTTCGTGCTGCACCTTGCGGTCGAGGCCCCCACCAGGACGCTGGCCAAGCTTCTGCTCTCGCCACAGAAGTAAGCTAAAACCATCGCAGCTTGTGTCGTTGGGTTGGGTATCCGGTGTTGTCCGAGACTGGCCGTTGACTGACCATTTCCTCAGGGGCGGCTCTCAGCGGTACGCCATGACGCGGAGCTCGGAGCAGCGGCCGTCCGTCGGCCCCGGGTCCGCTCCCCAGCACGTCCCGCGCGTCTCCGCGGACCCCAACGGGAACGTTGTCAAGACTGAAAACTAGATCTCACACACCGCTGCAAGCGCGCAGTGCGCCGGCGCCGCGGCGGTAGGCAACCCAACGCACGCCTGTGCGACGAGGTGGGGCGCGGAGTTTAATTTACTTTTACTTTCTTTGACTTGCGTGCATAAGCTCGAGAAAGGAAACACATAAATGTGTTTATGATTTTTTGTGATTTATATGCGGACGCTGATTAGTTAAATGGGTGCAAATGTGTACCACGCAAGTTTAACCAGTTGCGTCAGTGATCGTTCTCAGTACAAAAGTGGTGGTAGAGTTACCAATTTGTGTTTTGTTTTTCTGTGTACATTTTTTTTTTACAATACATTCTCGGTGTAGAAAGTGTAAACTGCTCTTGGGTGATATCTCAAAGCCATTGCTGGTGCGTCAAGGCCCGGAGTGGTGCGCGGCAGCGCCAGGCCAGACAGCACTACAGTACAGCCACACACAGCCTCACCATGACGAGGCGCGGCCGCGGCTCGCCGGCCCGCGGCTGGACGTGGCGTGGCGTGGTGGGCAGTGCGGGGCGGGGCGGGGTGGGGCTTAAGCCCGGAGGTTATATACGTGCGGCGAAAACTGATTCACCAAACGACTACTACTTTCTTTTTCGCAGAGCTTACAAACTAAACGATGATATTGTTTTCCGTATGTTTCCGCCTCTGACATGGGCATGATATGAGTGTTTGCTCGACCAAAAACATGAAAAAATAACATTATTAAAAAAATAATCAGATACAAAATTTGTATGCAGTTCTGTTTAACATTTGCCTTGCATACCCCCACGAAGAGGTGAGGAATGAAACGCCGAGTTGTTGGGTTTATTAAATATATTTCGATCCATCCGGACACCCCCGGTAGCGCAAATGCGCATTGTACGCGCTTTTGTTTAGCATTGAGTGCATTGGTGCATTTTGAATGCTCCGCAAAGGCGCGTAACGTGAAATGCAGAATTTACGCGGTTTAAGTAGTGCGCGTAAAATGCACCTTGTATGCGCGTAATAAAACAAAAGAAGATTGCAATCTGAATGTGAATTACAATCACAAGTCTCGACAATCGACATTCGACAAGCGCATACGCATTCGAAGTAGGAGGGAGACGTGAAGTGTTTTCTCCAAGTTATTTTCAAATTTAATGCAAACAAATAATTCATATTGAAAGTGCATAGAAAGCCATACGATGTACTCTGTAAGTATTTTCCGATTACACTTATAGAAAAATCTGTTTTCTAAATGGGACATAAAACTCTTGTATGGTATCGTTCAACATTGGGATCAACCTAGGTTCAACTTAACCTTTGCAACTCACGTTGGTTTTCTTGGGAAAAGTAAACAGCAAAATATTTGTGGGACAAACCTTGTTTAGTTTTGTTTGGGGGTGAGTATAAATTAAGGGGTCTATTGGTAATTGAGATAGTATTGACCTAAAAGTATATTATTTTGCTTTTAAAAAACTATTTTTGTACCTTAGTAGTCGATTCTTATGGGATTTAGCTTGCAACTAATTTATTTGTACTTGTTTGTAGTTAAACTGTATTTATTAAATCTGTTCATAATTTGCAGTCCTCTTACTTGCGGCGTAAGGCATCTCAACAGGCTCAAAAGGAAGCTCAAGGTTTGGAGCCTGAGAATGTGGACAATGAGGGTGGAAATGGTGGTGACGATTCTGATACTGGTGGTGATGGTGATGGCAGTGACATGAGTGAGAATCCTGATGAGGACATAAATGAAGATGGTGGTGAGGTGGACAATGACGAAAACAATGGCGAAGCAAACGATGGTGAAGAAAACAATATCGAAGAAAACAATGGTGAAGAAAACGAAGAAAATTGTGGTGATCATGGTGATGGACATGGTGGTGGTGGTGGTGGTGGTGGTGGTAATAATGAAGTTGACGGTGGTGACGAAGATGATGGTGATGGTGATGATGATGAAGATGATGGTGATCAAGATGATAGTGATGAAGATGATAGTGATGAAGATGATGATGACGGTGATGATGATGACGGTGATGATGATGACGATGATGATGATGACGATGATGATGACAATGGTGATGTCGACGGTGATGCTGCTGATGAGAATGATCTGAGAACAAAATTAGCAAAGTGGAGTATTGACTATGGTGTTACATTGTCTGCCACAAAAGCACTATTAGACATCCTTCGTGACCAACATCCAGAACTACCACACTCTGCAGAGACACTTCGACAAATCATAAAGAGGCGTTTACCTGTGAAGATGCTTGCTAACGGTCAATATGTGCATATTGGTTTTGGCAGATTGTTTGAATGCATTGATATCAATAAGATTGAAAACCAAGTAATTGAAGTTGACATTGACCTCGATGGTTTCCCTGTGTATAATAGCACAGGTACTGAATGTTGGCCAATTTTAGGTAGGTGCATATCTGGTGGAGCTGCAATACCTATTGTTATAGGTATATATTATGGTAAGGGTAAACCACGACCTTTGAATGATTTCCTGCAAGATCTGATCAATGATATACAAACATTAACTGCAGAGGGAGTAGTATTAAGGAACAGGCACTTTCAGTTTGTTATCCGATACATTTTGCTTGATGCTCCTGCTAGAGCTTACATTAAATGTTGCATGGGAAGTGGTTCCCATCATGGATGTGAAAAATGTGAGCAGGAGGGCTATAATATAAACAACTATACAGTATTCCAGACAGAATCTGGAAGACTAAGAACAGACGAGTCTTTCAGGCAGCAAACGGACCCTGATCATCATGATGGTGTATCGCCATTAACTGATATTGAGCAATTTGGGCTTGTATCCCAAATACCACTTGAACCCATGCATCTTGTAGAACATGGGGCAATCAAGAGGTTCTTCAACTTTGTACTTTCACAAGGCAATGTTAATGTACGAATGTCACCAGCCCAAAGAAATCTATTTGATGAATTGCTTATTGAAATGCAAGCTAACTTTCCCTGTGAATTTGGTCGTAAGCTTAGGTGTCTAGCTTTGAAAGCTAGATGGAAGGCTATTGAGTGGCGACATTTATTGCTTTATGTTGGTCCTATTTTATTTTCACAAGTTCTTCATGAAGAAGTATACCACTGTTTTCTACTGCTGCATACTGCTATTTTTATATTGAACCATGAAGTGCTCATACAGAATTTTCTTGATGAAGCCCAAACATATCTTGAAAATTTTGTGCCATATAGTGCAGAATTGTTTGGAGCGCATTTTGTAAGTTACAATATTCACAGTCTATTACATTTAGTTTCTGAAGTCCGCACAAAAGGCACTCTACCTTCCTTTAGTGCATATCCATTTGAAAATGAATTAAGACATATTAAAAAGTTGGTCAAATCTTCAGCAAGGCCTTTGCAACAGATCTGTAAGAGACTTGATGAAAAATACAAATTTAAGTGTATCAGAAGAAAAAAACAGAAGCAAGGTTTCATTATCCTCCATGACAACGGACCAGTTAATGGCCTTCAATATGTAGTTCATCAGTACAAGAAGTATGAAGGTGAAAAGTTTACAATTGGTATCTCCACACCTGACAACTGTGTGTGTTTTAGAGATGGTCGGATTGGCCTTGTTGATAATATAGTTGAGAGTGAGAGAGAAGATGGCTCAGTTTACCACGCAGTTACAAGACTTTTTACTGATTTGTCAAATTTATATGAATACCCCTTGGAGTCGAGGCTCTTGGGCATTTATGTCGTGGAGAACCTGGATCCACACCACACCGTTTTTGAGTGGCGTGATGTGAAACATAAATGTGTCCTCTTTCCTCATCGTGATGCTCATGTCTGCTTTCCCTTGGTACATTCAGTCATGGGGTGAGAATTGCTTGTTTTTTTCTGTTGTGGTGTTGATTTGCTAATGTTTTTTAACAACTTATACTTTGTGGTATTTAAACTGCATGTGCCAAAACTAATATCTTATTGCAACACTAGTATTTAATGATGTGTTCAAAATTGTTGTTGATTGATGAATTACTCGATTTATTAATTTTGTGTCCTATTTTAGGGAAGATTTTGCATAGTTGACTTCCTGGACCTTGAGGATGAAGGTGTGCTGCCCCAAACAGCTATTGTGCCTCAGTCGTGGCTTACTGATTGTGGCACTTCTAGTTACTGGCCACCAACCTACAAGGAATCATGCTTAAAAAAGCCACCTCAAGAGGACTGGTGCACCTTTCCTATCCTCCTCAGAGGATCCTACGGTAAGCTAGAAGTTATAACTTGTATGTTTTACGTCCTTCAAACATTTTTATTTCTACACCTTTACCTCTCTGTGTAGATTCCTTTGACGAAGCTAGGTCTCTCTTACCCAAAGCTGAGGCACAAAGCAACTTCGAAGATGATGACGTTGACAAGCTAGCCAAGCGACCCGTTAAAAGGCCGACTCGGTACCAAACAACAGATTCAGAGCCAGAGAGTTCGAAGAAACGTAAAGGTTTGTTAATTTTTAGACGTGCAGAAGTAGGTTTTTGCTATAGAAACAAAATGTAGAAACTTAATCCCTTTAATCATTTTTGTTTTCTAGGTTCAACTTTGGGAGCCAAGAAGACACCAGCCAAAAGTACTAAGCTTGCTGCTCCACCTGTTATTCGCAATAAGTGTTCTAAAGCTGTTAATGTATTACCAAAGCCTACCCTAACAAAGGCAAAGACTGCCACTGCCACAGTTGTTTCTGGAAATTTAAGCCACAAGCCTACTGTACCTATGAAACAATTGAACGCTTTGAAAAAGAACTCAACAGATGTGATCCAGGAGCTTGTTCAAGCTAAAACCACTTCATCAGCCTCTTCTCCTGCAAATGAAAGTCTCAGAGATGCAATCCAGAAGGCCCCTGCACTTCATTCGAGGCCAATTTCTCCTGCTGTTGTGCATGTGCAGACACATGAAGATGTAAGTGAGCCTCATCATCATGCTCAGGCAGGACACTACTCTGAATCAGAAGAACCAGAAGAACCAGAAGATGGTGTAATGGTCATGGGTGAGCTTTGCACTTTATTCCCAAACATGTGTTTATTGAATGATTGTTTAATATCTTAGACATTCAATGGTAGCTGGCTTTTATTTTGTTTTGCATGTAAAGTTATTCTCATTCCCCTTTTGTGGGCCTTGTTATGCAGATGATGTGAGACCAGAAGACTTGACTGTTGTGTCTAAGATGAACTCCAGTCATCCTTTCCGTAAAGGACACTCTCTCTCCAAGGAGCAGTCTGTTAATTCATTTCGTCCAAGTTTGTCTTGTTTGGCTTCAACTCCTTCCAGTGGTAAACATTTCTTGTCTTTATTTTCTGAAAAGCTTTCCATCAAGGGTACCCTGTGAGGGTCTTAAGTTTATGTTCAGTCTCAATGACTTACATTTTACTATTTTCTTCATAGATCATACTACAACAAAAGTTAATGATACCTCCAGAGGGGTTTTAAATAATCATGATCATGCCACACCCACAATGGTTCCACCTTCTAATTCTTCAAGTGCTGCTCTTCATCCCCAGTCAACAACGCAGAATCTTAACAGTAGTTCTACCGGTAACTATACTTTATACATCGAGTTTGATCTAGGTTGCTTCTGTTGACTAATCAAATATAATAATCATGCGTTTTGTTTTGTAAGGTACTGCTCAGCAAAAGTTTTTTCAATTAATCCTCAACAAAGTAAACAAGATTTTGCTGACTCAAAAGAATCATACACAGTTGCTGAATCGACTTGTAGCCCACTCTGGGATTGAGGGACCAACCACTCCTCGGCCTAGTGGCTGGCCTGAGAAACTTCCTCTACAGGATGAAGTACAATTTTTTGCCTGGGAAAGATTTTTGCGCTCCAACTCCAATTATGACTATGCTGTAAGCCTCTCCAAAATTTTACTCCAATTTATTCCTGTTGTTTTTGTCTGTTTAAAGACCAACATCAGTTTTGGCTCATAATTGATCAGTTTTTGTTTTGTACAGGTTAATTATTTTAGCAACGCTGTTTGTGATAAAACATTTGAAGCCTGTACTAGACAGATCCTAATTGAATTAATTTCAAAGAGCTTAAAGCATCACCTAAATTGGAAAGGGACAGAAAAGAAATATGGAATTAAGGATACGCGGACTGGCCAACTAGTTTTTGGTTTGTACTTTTAATTTTATGCCAAATTTCATGGTTTCTTTGAATTGAATTTTCATGTACAAGTTCATGAATTGCACTTTTCCCTATGTGTACAAGCTTATATATGTAATTAGTCCACATAACTAAGAGGTTTTTTTAAAGGTGTCATGAGGATATTTCTGTTTTGCAGAGGCTGTAAAGAGACACTTCAAGGATGTGGTCAAGGGGAAAGTTGGGACAGAAATATCAAAATGGCTCCGTAATAACCTGAGAGCTAAATCAGCAGTCCCAGAAGATGAGGAGGCAGAGACAAGCGGTGTTGACATGGACATTAATAACAATGAAACTGGTAGTTCCAATGACGAAGAGGATGACACCGATGGTTAATGATCAATTCTTACCTTAAATGTCTTCATATGGTTTATGTGACATTACATTATAATGTATATCAAATATGGTTGAATGGCAATGAACAAATGACAATGAGAGTGGACATGATGAAACCAATTGTTAAATGATTATTATTTTAGTTTCTTTACATGGTTTATGTGGCATTACATTGTTATGTATATTTAATATACATAAGACAATGTTTACTCAGTTACCAAAAAATAAATATTATTTTCCTTACTTCTGCAATTATTATTTTCCCGCGGAATTGTTTTGATGTGGTTTACAAGTTATGTATTTATGCATCACACGCAGTATTTTAGCGGAAAGGCGCTTATAGATCACCTATCGGCGTGTTTTTTTCAGGCGCATGGAAAATGCGCTTTTAATGTGATGTTAAGATGCATTACAAAAGCGCTTTTGTAATGCGCTGGAAATGTATCACGAATGTGTTACCTTTTATGCGCATTTTGACGCGCATTTGAAAAGCGCGCGTAATGCTCTTACTTAAGCGCGTATGGTGCGCGTACAATGCGCATTTGCGCTACCGGGGACGTCGCAAGCCATTTCGGACATAAAGAAATGACGATGGAAAATAACAGTATTTGCGGGCGGGAAGTTTACCACCGGCGCCCTTATCACAGATCACACAGGGCAGGTAGCCCGTTCGCTTACATCACCAGCACCGCTAGGGCGCGCTAGGGGGACCACACCCCGCGCTGTGGTCGCCGAAAAGGTCGCGGACCAAAGCCGCGAACAGTCTCGGCGGCCCTTCCGAACAGCGCGCGGGCCATGCCGTGCCCTCGCTGGCCAGGTGCGATACTAGTCATTCATATTCTGTGAATTCGTTCGGAACCGTGTCTAGAAGCGGGGAGGGCCGTACTCGGTGGAGGGGGCACCGAACTCGGCGACGGGTGGTGCGAGACCAGCTGGAGGCGCGGACTGGGCCAGGGTGGCGCGCGAGAACACGATGGGGGCGCGCGCCGCGGGGGCAGGGGCGGAGTATTGGACGACGGGGGCGGGGGCGAGGGCGTACTCCACAGGGGCAGCGGCGAACTCAACGGGCGCGCCGTACTCTTCGGACTTGACGTCGGCGATGGTGCGAGCGATGTTGGCGGCGGCGTCGGTTGCGAAGGACACTGCTCGGGCCACTCCGGTGGCCACGTGGTTCACGTGGCCGGCCACCTTGCCGACGACGTGGTCCACGATGGCCTTGCCGAAGCCCGGGAAGGGCACCACTGGGATGGGCCGCACGCCGGGGACGACGCGCAGCACGGGGGCGGCGGCGAAGGCGGGGGCGGCAGCAAAGGCAGGGGCGGGGGCGGCGGCGTACGACACGACGGGGGCGGGGCTGAAGGAGGCCGCTGGGGCGGACGCAGGCGGGCCGTAGGAAGTGGACAGGCCGTCGCCGGCCGCGAGGGCGGCGCAGCTAGCGAGCACGACGATCAGCTGGGGGAGGAGGAAGCGGAGCGGCGATGAGCGACACAAGGCAGGGCAACAGCACCTCCCAGCTCGGCACAACAGACGCAAACTCACCAGTCCGTTCATGGTGTCGGCGGCGGCGAATGGGTCGACAGAAGTGAGCGCTCGGCGCGACCCCCAAAGCTTTATAGGGGGGGCGGGTCCGGGGAGGCTTCCGGTGTTTTGGGGCGCGGCGAGGCAGTCGCGGTGGTGGAGGTGGGCGGACGTGCTGGTGACGAACGGGGCTCGCAGCCTCGCACGCCGCCGGCACAGACTGCCCCGCCAGCCGGACCCACCAGCCAGATCTGCCGCGATACAGACGCACTGGGGCTGATCCGGCCCCGTCTGTGCATGTGCACACAAAGCCGTCCAACTACGCCTCTGAGCCGTAGGGGGTAAAAGTTGAGAGGGGAGAGGGGGGGGGGGCTACTTTTCACGTCCGTTTGTGCGTGGGCGACAGCGGGGCTTGTTGTACGCTAGAGATACGAGCGCGTTCCACCGGACAGTCTAAATACTCCGTGATGTGGTTTTGATGAGTGGGGTTATTCAGAGGTTCAGAGATAACATATGGTCCAGACAGCGGGCAGACGGCCGAACGAGGTGCAAACAGCATCAACGACGGGCGAGAGAGTCAGTCGTGTGTGTCTCTTTTGACACTCGGTAAATAATAATAAAAAGCGGGGAATTCATCGGATATTTTGTTTTACTTTCACCAAATTTCACACTATTACTGCTGGAAAGCACCATCATACCATAAACACATATAACATAGAAATTTCAATCAGCTTTCAAAAAGTAATAATGCTAATTTTAGGTGTTCTTGTTTTCTTGAAACTGTCTAAAGCAAAAATCTAAAAACCAGAGGTGTTTTTAAAGCAAACAATATTTTTTACAATGAACCCAGCAAGTTTATAATGACTACAAAAATAATCTGATGCATAAATGTAACTTGCAGCTACACTATGCTGCACTTACATCAGACTATTTTTTAGTGAAAACCTATGACTTACATCAACTTTGGTAAGCATTTCAATTACATAGTTAGAAGAAAACTTGTTAAAAAGCAGAACTAAGTTCATTGAGACATCCCTTTTTGAAAAAAAAGGATATAACTTAGATTCATTGAGTAGAGAGTATAGATCAATTGTTTAGAAAAAAATGTAAAAAGACAAAAACTTAAATTTTGCTAATTTGAATACATTCAAAATTACTGGACTGAATTGATATTATTAAGTCTTTGGTCATCATCAGTTCTTACAGGAAGTACTCCATTATAAGACACTAAAAATACTCTATTGTACATGGATAAAATGATTTAAGAGATATAATGATTGAATGGATGAATTATCCATTTAAAAAACAAACAATAAAAAAACATCCAGTGTGCGTTTTTAACAGTGCTGTCACACATTGACACAGCTTATCAGCTCAGTAGGTAACATCTGATCCCAGAAAGAGATACTAGAACATTGAGATACAAATCAATAAAATAAATACCTAATGTCATGTTCATTGAGAGGGCACTCAAACTGCTTCTTTATTCACATCCACTTCTACTTTCACACATTTAAAGTAAAACTTTGCTAGAAAGATAGAGAGTGTACGCTGAAAACAACCTACCTCCCTGACTACTGGGAAAGGGTGAGAATAAGAACATAAAATTGGAGATTACACTGACTAACACACCTCACTAACTTGGGATAAGCGTGAATAAAATACCATATAAGAAGTAATGATAGCAGTCATAAGGTGACAAAGACCTCAAAAGAATTATGATTATTAATTAATTAATAAAGAATCTTACAGCTATTTCACAATCACAAAATATGAAATCACAATAAAGTACTGTATATAAAAAGTATCACCTCACTGCATCAGATCTATCAATGTAATGAGTAAAACACTATTTTATAGGGTTTACTTCCATTTGAATTGTTGATAAGGTATCCCCAAACTCAACAGTCCATTTTATTGCTTGGCTGTGGTTGTTGGCGTTGTAGTTTTACTTCTGTCTCAAGAGAGTTCACAGCTTCAAGAACTTGCAGCAGACTATTCAACAACCCAGAGAGAGCAGCACGGAGCTCTTGTTCAGTCCTTGTTGTGACGTACAAATCTGAAAGAGTGTTGAAATAAAAATGTAATAACTATAGCTGACAGGGAAAAAATGAATTTTTTGGGGGGGTATTTCATAATGCTCACCCGACTTATCATGGGAGATGTGTTTACAATACATAATGAGAATGCTGATAACATCATCCTCCTCCAAACATCCTGGTACCACTTCACTTCCCCATAGTCCACTGAAAAATTTCATGTTAGTTAGAGGCAAATACTTCATGAATACACTAATCGAAAAGCAATAGGGGAAAAAAAGGTAAAAGTAAAAACATACCGATTTTGCTTTGCCCAGCTTAAGGCAGCAGTCCACCGTGACTCCTGAAGTAAATGCATAAGAGTACTTTCTGCATTCCCACCCATTAGAGCAATTCCTCCTTCAGGGGGAGGGGTAGGTGTAGCTGACGGACTTAAAGATGGAGTGGCGGTTGGAGTGTGCTGTTCTCCTTCTACATTGTCCTCTAAAGCAGTCTTTAGTTGAATTACCTCACTTGAAATATCTTGGAGCTGCAAGTATACATTGATACATTAGAGTAATAAGATAGATAGATAAACAGTAAAGTTACCATGGGTGAATCCCTGGAAAAGGTGCAAGTTCTGAATAACAAACCTGATTCGTTTCAGCAGCAGTAGTTAATGCTCCCACCATTCTGTTTGCGGCTTCCAAGACCATAACAAGTTGGAAATGAAGTTTGTATAGAGCTCTACCTAAATCCAGGACCAATTCACCACTGCTAGTTAGAAGTCCTCCAGATTCACCCAGTAGCTCAAGCTTTGCACTAGCGCGTACTGCATCAACACACTGTAAGAACATAAAGAGAACAGTCAACTTTTCCTATTGCCTTGGTTGGGTAATTGTTATTGATACAACTTGAAAAGCATTTACCTCGGCCAAATGATCCTTCCTATCCAAAAATGTGTCTAGATGCTCTTGAACCTCTAAGGAGCCAAACCGAAGAGCCTCTGTGAGACGAGAACTGTCCAGAACTTCAGGAGCAAACCAAACTAATGGTGCAATTGCACGAGCATCAAGTTGGTCACATAGAGACAACAAATGAGCGCGGAGGTCGGATCCAGCTGAATCACGTTCAAGATACAGGCATGCTTCATGTGTCAGCTGAACAGCTTTGCTGCTAACATCCTAAAATGGAGTGTCACCAATAGATTAGAATCTGGTTGTAAAAATCGACTGTATGATTCAACTAAACTAAATATAGATATCCATTGAAAACATACTCGAACAAGGCGATGCAACAGGTAAAACAGTTCAAGTGGAGAAGCTGGTACTTTGCACAAAAGACCTTGAATATGCCTTCGCCATGCCTCTTCAGTGTCATCACGTAGTATTGGACGGAAAGTCATCAACGCTGACAAGTTTGGTGAAGCATTACAGGGTGTTACATCACCCAGATCCCCTGCACTTGATCCACTAGGCACAAAAAAAACATTGTTAACCAAGAGTACAAAAAAATATTGTTCTTATCTCTATGTAAGTCAATGTTCAAAACAAATCACCTAGTATCTGATCTATTGTCTGAACGCCTTCGATGCTGAAGACTGAGAGAAGATGGTGGAAATAGAACAACACTTCCTCCAGAGGAACTGCCTCCAAGCTCAGGTGCCATGGCCACTTCATCCAAAGGTGACTCTGATCCCACTTCATCATCTGATGATTCTTCCAAAACATTTCTCTGCAAAATTTGAAAGGTCAATATAATGTTTATACAGGGCATATTTGATTGAGTTTCACAATATTTTGAAAGAAATAGATAAAAACCTTATTCCTTTTACTGAGGACAGGCGTCTTTTCACTGAGACTTTCTTCTAACTGACGTAGACTCTGTTCTCCCTCTGTTTCACCTTCGCTGAGTGGTCGCCGCCGAACTCCCCAGTTGAAATTATCTGTACTCTCTCCCTGTGAAAATACACACACATTATGATAACTAACCAAGGGGCACAACAAAATATTATGGATAAAAAGTAAAGTAACAACTTACCTCAACACTTTCACTCTCATATTCAAGGAAGTCAAAGTCTTTGAATACTCCAAACTGTTCAGTGCCAGCACCATCATCCCTCCGAGATCCACCAGAGAGATCATTGTTTGGACCAGACATCTCTTCAGTGGACGATGCCATGCTGGATTGTCTCTCCATTAAATCAGAGCTCTGACTAAATATTACCTGTAGATCGAAAATTTTGTCATGAGAAATGTCAGTTTAAAATTAGATTTGACGAGATGTCATTAGCTACACATTTGGCACAACACTGCACAAGACATAGGTATTTTAAATGGATATTAGGATTTAGAAGCTGAGAGACATAAAAAGGAATGTACTGTACAAGGATCCCAGTAGAGAAATTACACCAAACGATTATGTAATGAGCCACATCAACCATGGTGTTCGGATATGAAGAAATATGATAATAGCACTGACATGATATGTGATGTGCACTCGCCAAAAAAAAAGCACAATATGAAACCAAACATGCCGCTTTGCTTGCTTGAGCTGTACAATTTTTTTTTTAAGTATATATATTAAGCAAACTGATGTATTTCTGGTTGATCACTAAAGCTTTTTTGAGTGCACAGCGTGATACTTGAAAAAATAGAATATTGCGGATTCAGTGGAGTCTTAGGCTGTATAAATGATCAGATTTTAAAACTCTTGGAAGTCAGCACACGTTTTGGGTAGTTGATGTGAATAAAACTTTTCCACAGAAAGTGGAGCAACATGAAAAGCTTGATGGGTGAGAACAACCGTAGAAAGCTATGTGTAGGGAGAGGTACAGCGACATTGCAAGAGTTACCTTGTGGTATGAGAATATTAAACCATCCTGAACAAACCAAGAGGAAAAGTATAAGGAGAGGAGTCAGTTCCAAACAGACGATTTGAATGAAAATATTTTAAAGATATGCATGGAATATTAGATAGATAAATTTAAAAGATTTTCTTTTTAAAGACTAGATTTTCATAAGTTAACTCATGATGATTCAAAATTTACAAATTTCTTACCGATGGACTCTTTGGAAGGCCCACTCGTTGTCCACAAGTTGTTAAGAGGTTGACAAGACATTCCCTCACACGACCCTAAAATGGAATATGGTCATTACAGATTTTCTATTAGAGATTTTTTTAAAAACAAACAAATAGTTTTGTGTAGGATTTACTTGTGACATCCATGGTCTCTTCCAGCCAGCTATATTTGTGCTATCTGCAGGAGATAATGATACAGAACGCCTAGGTGAGAGAGCAGAACTGCCTGGTGTCGCACCGCTGGCATGAGTTGGACCTGGTAAGGCACTTAGAGCAACAGCTGTACTTGTAGTGCTGGCGGTGCTTCCAGTACTTGGTACTGTCCCTGCTGCACTTGATGCAGTTGTTGAAGTGGTAGAAACAACAGATGAACTAGGTGCAGCAGCATCTTTCTCATCCACTTTGCTCACTTGGCGACGACCAATCAATGGGGTTTGCGACAGGTCAAATGTGAACTCCATTGTACGTCCTAAAAAATCATTAGTTGGGCAAAATACATTTTTAAGATTCCATACCACAAATGAGAATGAACAGAAAGGAAGGCAAACAAACCTGGTAATTCTTTTTTGGTAAAGAGCTCATTATCAGTGAAAGATGGGTGGGGTGAAGACATGCTGGATTCCCAATGAGAAGAATGTGTTGCTGTAGGTGGAGCCACTAGAGTGGAGGACCGTGTCACAACCAACTTCAGAATCTTCAGAGCTTCACGCCAATGTGGTCCCTAAAAGAACAAAGTTTTCTTAGAGTTTCTTCAACAATGAGGCATGTACAATTGGAACTGAAGACACCTTCAATTAAATTTCAGATAGAAAACATGTTTTGTTTTTTTTGTACCTCAACATATTTGTGAATAACCCTGAGCAAGTCCCCATTGATGGGCTGCGCTGCTGCAGCAGCTAAGTCCACATAGTGGAGCATGCAATGAATAATACTCAAAACAGAAAGTTGAACAGAGGAGGGGCCTTTTTCCAAAACCTTCAAGAAAGAAGACATTACAAAATTAATTATTTTAAAAATTTAGGTTGTTTAAGATATAATTCTGAAATGTTAAAACTTAATTTACCTCTACTAAAAATGCAAGCATATTTAGACCAAGGTGGGCATATGTGTCATATAGATACTTGACAACACATTTTGTCCACTGGAAGCTCTCTTTACTGAAGGTACGTCGACTATACAGGGTCATAACAGTTGCAAGATTTTCTAATTTCTTACTTTTATCAGTGGATGCCTAAAAGAAAAAATAAAATGTTAAAAAACGTGATATGCACAAAAATCAAGCACATAAAAATATTCCTAGTTTGAAAGGTTTTTGTACCTGGGCTATATTTTCAGCACTCATAATGCAAAGCTCATTTGCATCTTCATAATGCAGCAACAGGTATGGTAACATAGCTATGACATTCATGGGGAATGCCAGGCTTTGAGTAGGATCAACTACAGGTAAATCCAACAAAAGAGTAAATTGAGGAAGAAGACTCATCACAGAATCATATGTGTTAGGATTAGTAGAGCCCTGCAGAGCAATTGAAAGAAAATTAGATATTTAATAAGTATAAAGAAAAACTTAGAATAAAACATCTATCTTCTTTACTAAATGCAAACCTTGAGTAGAAGAGCATGTACTCCGGGGAAATTATTCCACCGTAATTGTGCCTGTAATTTTTCCACTTTATCCCGAGCATCAGGCCGATCTAGAGGGAGGCGATGCAGAACTCGACTGAGCAGCCTTAGAGCCAAAAGGAATTCATGTTCGAAGTCTGATTCTAAGAGGGATACTGCCAACCAGAAGAGCTGGGCTAAAATAGTCATCTTATCATCCTGAAAAATGATTAAAATGCTGCAGTTCAAAAACTGAAAGATGGTGCATGAAAAAGATGTTAAAGAAACCAAAGTTTTACCAGTGAGGCACTGTCCCCGAGAAGCTTAAGTGACTGAGCAGACCGAGAACGGCAAAGATTTGTTGAATGATATTTGCTTCCTAGTCCAGCACAGACGGCTGAGCGAGATTCAAGCTCGGACATCACTCTTCCCCGCATTTCTGAGATGATACAAAGTGAAACATTTTAGGTAATTATGAATAAAGCATAAAGTAACAACAAACTTTAAACAAATACAATAAGTTTTCTAACCTTTGTTGTCATTAGCAGGTGACTGCATAGATTTACGCATATTGTAGGACACAGAGTAACTAGTGCTTCTTGTATGACCACTCGTTCCCATACTACAAGTGAGTGGACTGTTTCCATTTCCAAAAAGACCAGTTGCACCGCCTCCTGGACTCCGTTTTCCACCAGCTGTGACAACTGAAGTTTCTTTGTTGTTCAGATTTGGAGTAGATTTAAAAATCTCTTTCATAAAATCAAGAGGACGGAAGTCTGATTCCAGAGAATCTACTGCAGACTCTAAGGTCAACAGCAACTCGGTAACATAACCCTGGAACAATGTGATAAATAATAATTGCCGAAGATTTGAGAGCAGTCATTTACCACACTTTTCTCAACTTACTTGCATATCTTCTCCTTGCTCAGCAACTGTTTCTACAAGGCGTGATAGAATGTCAGAGAGCATTCTTGAGTTAATTGGAACTCTCAAGGCTCTAAACAACTGTAAAGATATTAGGGAAAAAATGACATGAATTAGTTTTTATACTTCAGAGACCACAAGTTGTATACAGAAACACAGCCAGGAGCGAGCTTTTCTGAGGAGATGTTGCTGCAGTGGTGGATCGGCTACCTGCTTCCGAGGGTCCACGCAAAGGGATAGGCGGGACCCAGACGGCCCAAGTGTTGTGGCGGTAGCTGAGGAGGTAGTAGTGCAGAAGAGCTCCCATTAGAAAAGCTCGCTCCTAGTTGTGTCTCCCTATAATTCCGTACAGAATGATAACAATTAAAGGAGAACTTACTTGAAGTGATCTACCAGCATAGTGTCGTGAGGAGCATGATAATCCTAACTGCAGTGCAGTTTGTGCCCATCGCTCACTTATCAGAGCTTGAGGCAAGGAATCTCTAAAGACCCTCAAGACATGTTGCAGGAAAATATCTAATTGTTCCACAGAATGCACTGACCATACTTTTGCAGTAATATCCTCGTAGTTCCACAATGGTTGATTTTGTCTAGAAATTTAAATACAGCGTTGGTAAATTTCTAACAACACTTTGAGTAAAAATTGACTAATCTTGACTTACCTTGAGGCTAGAAAATCTACAAGTGACTTTATTACATCTTGTATAGGCATATTTGGACCTGGGAGAGGCTTTGGGCTAGTCCATGCAGAACTGTCCTCTGCAATCACAATAACTGGACCAACAGAGCTCACAGGAACCACAGTGTTTACGGTGCTCACTGACATGATGGGTCCAACTATTGAGACTGTTTTTGTATTATCTGCAGGAAAGAAAAGGCATTGAGTTCGCCGGAATGGAATATCATTCACAGTGTTAGGAATGTGGGATTTCAAAGACCTGTGCTACTGGATGTGGTTGTGGTTGCATTGATGCCCCCCGGTGCGAGCCCTGTAGTTGTCGATACCACAATGGGACCCTGCATGTAGCTGTCAAACTCGGCGTCGGGCTCTGGAACAAAGAAACAGACAAATACGTCAGTCGATTGGTCTGCCCGAACAGGCCCTGCCTCTGACAGTTGAGTTTGCGCACCCGTGAAGTTGTGCCGGTGGATGGGGAGCTGCGGCTTCGGGACGCCCAGGGCGAGCTGCTGCGTCTTGGCGGCGAGGAGGATCCTGGCCACCGTCAGGTGGTCGCAGTGCTCGGCCAAGACGACGAGCAGGTTGAGCAGCAGCTGCTTGCAGTGCTCGTGCACGAGGGCGCGCGAGTGGTCCAGCCCCAGGAACAGCATGTGCAGCATGAGGGGCACGTGCACGGACCAGTCCACCTCCACGCCGTCCACCACGATGTCCGTGAGCAGCATCACCGCCAGGTTGCACCTGAGCACGAGAGGGAGGCCATTGAGGTCGACGCCCATGACGGCGGCGCGCCTTTCACCCTCGCGGGCGGCGCGGACCTACCGGTGGAAGCCGCTGCTTGGCTGGGTGCAGTCCGGGAGGAACTCGGTGAGCGGCGCGAAGTAGCCGCCGTACTCGGGCATGGGCAGCGGGTGCGGCTGCGGGATGTCGTACTTGTTCACGTTCCTCGAGAGCGTGTACGTGTCCTCGGGCTGCTCGGACTGCTCGGGCTGCTCGACGGTCGGCGGGACTCCTTCGTCGGGCAGGGTCGCCGGCCCGGAGGCCGTCCTGCCTTTCTCGGGCCGCGGCCGCAGAGCAGAGTCGGACTTGGCGGTCCTGCAACAGACACAACAACAACGATGCTCACAAAGGCCCTCGCCTTCTCGGCCGCCCCGAGCCCTCGCCTCCGCTACGTTACGCACCCGGTGCAGCAAGACTTGGCGGGGTCCTCGCCGCTGTGCCGCTTGGTGTGGATGGTGCCCTTCTCGTGCGCGGGCGGCGCCTCGGCGGGCTGCTCGGCCGAGTGCGAGGACGCCTTGCGCACGGACGTGAGCCGGAAGAAGGGCGGCGTCTCGGTGCGCTCGATGAGCCACGAGAGCGTCTCCACCGTCTGCAGCTCGGTGGTCATCTCGTCCATGAGGCGGTCGGGGCGCGCCCGCGCCAGGTGCAGCGCCACGCGCTTGGCCTGCAACGACAACAACAGCACCGTCACGTCCCGTCACGCCAAAGGCCGTCACGGCCGAGCTGGGCTCAGTCACGGCCCCCACCCCACCCCCGTCCTCGACGCCGTTGAGCCGGGCGTCCGGTAATCATTTCGGATTACGCCGCTCGCACGCATAACGACGGTCTGCTCTGCTATGGCGATCCCCTTCCAAAATCAATTACCCGGCCAGCGTGGCGGTGCGCGTCACGGCACACACATCGCACTGTGATAAGAAGAATCGAAACCGATAAACATGGACAACACACAGTTTTTATTAAATGCAAGAAATTAGGGACAGTTTATTTTTTTCACCCAGAGCAGTAGACATTTCTAAGTGGATCGCCGCTGATTGACCTGACGTAGTTTCTATTCTACATCCATGCGTAAGAGGTGTAGGAGGGGGGGGGGGGG